ATTCCTGAGGCTTTTAAAAACTCCCAGCCTGGTTCATTACTCAAAACCGCAATCATGGGTAAGACTGCCGACCTGACTGCTGTGCAGAAGGCCATCATTGACACCCTCAAGCAAGAGGGTAAGACACAGAAAGAAATTTCTGAATGGATAGGCTGTTCACAGAGTGCTGTATCAAGGCACCTCAGTGGGAAGTCTGTGGGAAGGAAAAAGTGTGGCAGAAACGCTGCACAACGAGAAGAGGTGACCGGACCCTTAGGAAGATTGTGGAGAAGGACCGATTCCAGACCTTGGGGGACCTGCGGAAGCAGTGGACTGAGTCTGGAGTAGAAACATCCAGAGCCACTGTGTACAGATGTGTGCAGGAAATGGGCTACAGGTGCTGAATTCTCCAGGTCAAGCCACTTTTGAACCAGAAAAAGCGGCAGAAGCGCCTGACCTAGGCTACAGAGAAGCAACACTGGACTGTTGCTCAGTGGTCCAAAGTACTTTTTTCGGATGAAAGCAAATTTTGCATGTCATTCGGAAATCAAGGTGCCAGAGTCTGGAGGAAGACTGGGCACAGGGAAATGCCAAAATGCCCGAAGTCCAGTGTCAAGTACCCACAGTCAGTGATGGTCTGGGGAACCATGTCAGCTGCTGGTGTTGGTCCACTGTGTTTTAATGCAGCTAGCTATCAGGAGATTTTGGAGCACTTCATGCTTCCATCTGCTGAACAGCTTTATGGAGATGAAGATTTCATTTTTCAGCACGACCTGGCACCTGCTCACAGCGCCAAAACCACTGGTAAATGGTGTAATGGGGTAAAAACCTCGCACACACAGCTCTAACACTGTGCTATTCAATGCTAGAACTAGGATGACACAAACTAGTTAATATATGAAGCTTCTATCTTATATCAACATAAAATATTAACACACCATCGAGCTTGGTCTATGATTAATCTACGGATTAATACTTAATTTAAGATACTTAAATTAATAGCAAAAGTTTTTTTATTAAACAGAAGATTCAGTACGATTTTTCATTCGATAAATGGAAATGCAACCCTTTTCTGTGTTTCGTTTCAATAATGAGGCAAGTTTAAAAATGAAGAAATTTTATTACTAACAATTTTAAACTAAGGATTTGAAACGACAATTATAAAATGACAATTCATGGATGGCAATTTTAATGACAATCTTTAACAGTTTTGATATTACTGGTTTAAAAACAAACCTGTGACTGAATGGAGCTAAAATGAGAATGATGAGTTTTGGATGCGTGAATGAAGTTCTCAGGTTTCTTTCAGAGAGAATGAAAGCGTTCTGGGTGGAAATGATGTTTTGCACATAACTGAGTTATTTTGAGAGAAACGGCATCAAACGCAGCCTCGTGTTCTACCTCACCCAAACAGCTGACCCTCTTGTGGATCCGGAGATCGGGAGGATGGGTTCATCCAAGATGACACTCGGGGCTGGCAGGGAAGACGCGAGTGTCCGACCGTCTGGTCCAGAGTGGTAGCCGGGTACACGGTGGTCAAGCGTTTGGCAGATGAACGTTCTCGTCTTTAACTTAACTTCAGAAATCAATGACTCTGGTAGAGTCTTTCGTTAGCTGCTTTACGGTTCTGTTTATTCTTTGGCTATTCTTGTCGACGTGACAGAACAGCTTGGCAGAGAGTCCGGGCGGCCGTCCCGTCTCCTCAGGCTGACGTTGGTTTCAGAACTGAACGTGAATCTGTGATGGTTAGTTTTACCAAAGCTCTCAGAACCCCTCCCACTCTCTCCGGAAGAAAGCTTGAACATGCGTCAAAAACATGTGATGCAGTTATTGTTTATCTGAACTCTGCGTTAGCTGAATAAGGTGAAGGTCTTCTTTGCTGAACACATCTTTATAATCATTATAATAATTATTATTATTATACCCAAAGCATAATAATCCATTTCATGTAATTAAAATACCTTTATATTGAATAAAGTGATCATGTTATGATTATATTAAACAGTAATAAAATCAATGAGTTTATTAATTGTTATCTGATTATTATCATCGTGACTTGCAGTGTCCTTCTTCTGGGACGGAACAGCAGATATGATGTTATGATCTTGAGCAGACATCGTGGCTCCTTGGGTTAATCTGTGGATTCAAAAAGTACTGTTTGACCCAGCTTGACCCAGCTGGGCAAATGCGACCTTTGCCACACATCAGAGAGCCTTCATCACGCTACAGTGGTTTACTGACCATGGTATTACTGTGCTCAGTTGGCCTGCCAACTCTCCTGACCTGAACCCCGTAGAGAATCTGTGGGATATTGTGAAGAGAAAGTTGAGAGACGCAAGACCCAACACTCTGGATGAGCTTAAGGCCGCTATCGAAGCATCCTGGGCCTCCATAACACCTCAGCAGTACCACAGGCTGATTGCCTCCATGCCACACCACATTCAAGCAGTCATTTCTGCAGAAGGGTTCCCGACCAAGTATTGAGTGCATAACTGAACATAATTATTTGAAGGCTGACTTTTTTAAATTAAAAATACTTTTCTTTTATTGGTCGGATGAAATTTGCAAATTTTTAGAGATAGGAATTTTGGGTTTTCATGAGCTGTATGCCAAAATCATCAATATTAGAAACAATAAAAGGCTTGAACTACTTCAGTTGTGTGTAATGAATCTAATACATATGAAAGTCTAATGTTTATCAGTACATTAAAGACAATAATGAACTTTATCACAATATGCTAATTTTTTGAGAAAGACCTGTATGAGGTGATGAGCTTCCAATCAAAGAGCTTCCTTGTGTTCACTTCCAGCAGCGGTACTCACTCCTGGTCCTGAAAAGCCGGTATTCAGCTCGTTTTAGTTTTAACTCCGCTTTAACATGCCCGACTTCAGTCAGCAGGTGATTAACAGGCTTCTGAAGAGCCTGATGAGCTGCTGCACAGGTGATTCAGCCACTGAATCAGGTGTGTTGGGGTAGAAGAAAAACGAAAATATGCTGGAGATCGGCTCGACCAGGAGCGAGTACCACTGACGTAGAGCCTAAGTTTGAATGAGTGTTTACTACAGCTGCATCCCGGTTCCTTTTAAGGTCTTCACCTCTGATGATCTTCATCCCATAAACCTGCACAGCAGTCCAACATGGAGGATTAGAGGCTCAGTGGGTTTCAGTGTAATCACATGAAATGTGAAGATGCAGCCAGACAGATGTGCAGGGCGCCACTCGGAGGGCTGCAGCTGGAGGTGCAGCCCTGCTGGACCAGGTTTTATCTTGTAACGTCCAGCAATGGTCAGTTTTTAGGTACTGTTTGACCATTCAACATCTGGTCAAAAAGGAGACATGAGACTGCATGTTTTGAACATGGCCTGCCTTCATCCCATCAGCTGGAGCTCAGAGCCTATCTGCAGCTATGAACACGGATAACAAATTGTCGCCAATATTGTTCTCTCCTCAAGGTCCATCCTTATTGTCCAACAGGATTCTTCATGCCTAGCACTCGCAGCTCGGATCAGTTGCTAAATCAAAGAATGATTTCCTAAATTAAATGTGAACTTCTAAAACGTATTAGCTAGATAATCATTAAATAAACGTTTGTTTATTGCTACTTATAATAATTATAATATAATGAAATGTTTCATTAATCTGTGCTCAATGATTGAAGTTTGAAATGAATGTTATGTTATCATTACAGTGATTGAAATATGTTTCAGCATGTTTGTATAACAAGGTCGTCACCATTTGCACTCACACAAGAACAAAGTAAGGTTAAGTTAAACTCTGACACATAGTCTTTTACCCCAGATCAGAGCATCCGGTATCAAAGAAGGCAAGTTTCTGAGACTCTTGGTAATAATACTCAAACTTGTCGACCTCTGGTTGGCTACACAAATCATGAGAACATTAAAACCAGATCATTCTGGTGAATCAGCAGTTCTAGAGAAAGCTTTAGACCATCCATCTGAAGCAAAACCCTCTTTAACCATCAAAGCTTTTGACACGTCAAAATCTTTTTGCACCTGCGAAGCTGATACCACAACAGCTCCTGCAGAACAAAATGATATTGTTTAGACTCCTTAAAGAGTCCCAGAAGTGCGGTTCCATCCATCTGTCGTGACCAGAGACATCTCTGGACTGAAGAGTCGGTGCCACTGTATTCTACAGCCCTCCGGTGCCAGAGGTCACCCGGCCTCTCTGGCCTTCGGATCCACCCAGAGGGTCTCCGAAAACGGGTGAAGTAGACACACAGATAGCGTCTGATGTGCTTTTGATAATAATCAACTTCATAGCTTAGCGCAAACCAAATTCTTTTACATCCAGAACTCAGCTCTCCTAGATACGGAAGTTCTAACATCACATTCACACATAGGTTTCATACATCACATCTAGTTCCATCCGCTCACAGTAAATGTTAGTTAACCTGTCATGTTTTAATTGTTTGTAAAATAAATTCTTACTTTTACAAATCTGACTCTTTTCTGAATTAAAACTGAGTGTACAACCCCTTAATAAAGAATCCTAGAATCTTCTGATAAACACAGTAAAGACCAAGCAGAGTGGATATTCTATATTTAGATAAGAGTATCACTGCTTATTGGTCATTAGAGGTAATATACATATTGAGCTCTTAAAGCACTCAATTTCCTAAACCCTACAATCTCCTTGTTCAAATCAAACTTAAATGCTATGTTTTTACCTGTTACCTAGTTTTTTCTTACAGATTCAGACAGATGAGGTAGATAAACCCACATCTGAACCTGAAGCCACAGAGAAGAGTCTAATTTTACTTTTTAATCAACTTGGTGATGGACCGACAAGCTTCACTAGCTGCTGATAAGCCAGGTGTTTCAAGTTTTGGCCCCTTTCCCAATAAACTGGACACCAGAACAGGACATGTCCACTTCATGCCTGAGCTCAGATCAAGAGATGTTAAAGAATTGATCTGGCCAGAAGGTCTTAATAACTCAGAACCTGATTATTAGATAGTTTAGCACAAGTCGGCGGTTGACTCCCGTCTCAGACCCTGTTGGCTGATAATCACATTTTTATTATTTAATGTTCAAAAAGAGTCCAAAGACCTCACAGTCGTTCACATTTGTTTATCACAAACAAACGTTTGTTGGGCGATGTTTTAACTGTCATACAGTGGTGAGAGAGCACAACTTTAAAAAGACAAACAAAAACTTAGTCGAGGGTGTGGCTAAACGGTCTGGTTCAGCAGGAGGTTTTTAACAAATATGAAAAAAATCGCTAAATATTCAGATTCAGAAAACATGGTTTCCCAGACGTATCTGGACCCTGAACGGAGATAACAGTCTCAGTGTGCGTGTCATTTGTTTTCTTGTATCCTTTCACACACAAACACAATAAAGCAGCTGTCTCACTGCAGAACTGTTCTTTTAACAACTCTTCCTTCTTTATCAACAGCAAAGTTGTAATTCTTTGGATTGTCCAGCGCCTCCTCAATTCGTTGGTCTAGGTTTTGCAGGGTGATGAAGTTCTTTGCGTCCTCCTATAAAGAACAAAAACATTCAGATCTGAGGTCATAAATATAAAAATTGTTTTTCAATAATTATTCAATCTTTATTTCTTCTGGTAGAAAATCACTTTACCAAACTGCAAAACCAAATTTTGAATGTTCTAGCTAACGCTGTTGTTTGGAGGAATTCATACCTGCAGCTGTAAAATCTCCTTCTCTCTTTGTTTGATGAACTCTTGCTGTTCCTCCTCGCGCTGAAGGGCCAGCTCCATCTTCCTGTGCTGGGCTTCCTCCTCTTCCTTCTGCACTCTTAATATTCTATGTGATACAAAACACATCACAATGCCTTCTGAAAAGAGCTACAGTTCTAAGCAATGTTAGCTAATTATGATGCATCAACTCTGAGACCATGACGTTCGAGTTGAAGCTTTTTTCTGCACCTTGCTTGGAGTGTACGGAGGTTTTCCTGATCGTTCCAGGCCATCAGGGAGCGATGCTCCTCCATCTCCATTCTTGCCCTGCTCTCCACCTGAGAACCCATCTCCTCCTCATACATATTTCTCAGCACCTCTTCCTTAAACTCCAGACTGAAACAAAAAAGAAAGGAAGCGTCAAGTGTTTCTGTTTGAAACAGCAATATAACAGTATGGCTCGTGAACTCAGCTGTTGCACTTGCTTTGTTTTCCACAACATTGCTTTTATGTGTATTAATGCCACACACATTTCGCCACTCCATATTTCTGAATCTGACAGATATAAACATCATTAATTATTATTATTATGTAAAGAGAAACTGATTGAATATTGCATAATTATAGGCTAGACACTTAACAGGTTACTTTTGAATGGGGGGAACGGATTTCAGCATGACACCAGGTGGCCTATGAAAGTCCGTGACGCCTCCAGCGGGTTAAACTCACCGAAGTGCCCTCAAGATCAGCTGATAATTATTATTATTATGTAAAGAGAAACTGATTGAATATTGCATTATTATAGGCTAGACACTTAACAGGTTACTTTTGAATGGGGGGAACGGATTTCAGCATGACACCAGGTGGCCTATGAAAGTCCGTGACGCCTCCAGCGGGTTAAACTCACCGAAGTGCCCTCAAGATCAGCTGATACTCCGTGTATCTCTCGTTAAGAACGACCATCTCCACTGGATCGACGGGGGGTGGAACTTTGATCCGACCCTCCTTGGACTTGGCCACCGGGTCGTTGCGGGACTTTCGACCCCGGACAGCCTCCACGAGCACGGTGCTCCTTGACGCGAGGAACCGGGCCGCTGAGACGCCTCTCCCGCCGATAAAATGGTACATTTTGCTGTAAAAACACGCGAACTGGAATTAAGTTTTAAAAATGTTGGAAAATGTAGCCTGATGGCTTAAATTACCACCGGGAACGGAGTGTTATTAATGACATGTCATGGCAGCCATATTGGTATCCTTTCACCAGCGGAAGTACAAAGAAAAAAACTTTATTGAACAAAGGACAGTGGGCAGAATAGTTTATTTTATCCCATCTTCTTTGATCACCATAGTACATTATATTGAATTACTATGGAAGCCTATTTCTATAAAAGCCAATTATACCCACTCAGGAATAAATAAAATAAAAATTTCATAATTATGGTTTAGAGGTCATGATAATGAGATACTTTTTTTTATTTTTTATTTAGAATATTGGTTCGTTAACAATACAGTCAATATACACAACTGACTCAATATCCACTATGAAGTACATGGAAACAGTATACAGTGATCCCTCGTTTATCGCGGTAGATGCGTTCCAAACCTGGCCGCGATAGGTGAAAATCTGCGAAGTAGGGACACCATACTTACAGTATTTATTTAACAGGTACGTATTCAGTATTCAGACTTTTAAAACCCTCCCTTTACATAGTACTGTATTTTTGCTTTTTTTATAGTTTCATTACAAAAAGTGCATTTTATGATGAAATTGATGAAAAAAAAAAAGGAATTTCTTGATATTTCGCATAGAAAAATACCGCGAATCGGTGAATTTCCCTTGAATAAGGCTCCAAAGAAAAAATCCGCGAAGTCGTGAATCCGCGATAAACGAACCGCGAAGTAGCGAGGGAACAAAAACATACCAACAGATTCAACGCCAGGGGTTACTGCATACAAATTATGAAACATATGAGAATGATAATCGAAACAGGAAACAATACGAGACATGCAACAGAGTATGAATTATGGAAAGATTTGAAATTTCGAGCAGAGACTTAGTGTCTTAATGACTTTGTTATTGGTCGAGGTGGAGATTGTTTTCAAATAAAGCTTAAGTTCTTTTTTCAAGACACAAAAGGAAGGTCTTATTTTTAACACTTTACATTTATGGATGTAAAACTTGGTCAGCAATATGATAAGATTAGATATGAACAGTTCATTTTCTTAATCCCTCTGATAGTCTAGAAATCCAAACAGAACATTGTGAAAATGTAATACAAAGGTCTCATGGATATGGTCCAATATAAATCTACAGACGCCTTGCCATAGTTTCCGAGTGTGTTCACAAGTCCAGAACAAGTGGTTGATAGTTTCTGGGTGCTCCTTGCAGAAAGTACAGGATACATCAACGTCTTTAATGAATCTCCTCAGGAATGTTTTAACACGATAATAGAGATGAAGGAGTTTGAACATGACTTCTTTGACTTTGTTTGTAAGCAAGTATCTGTTAGGAAGAGTCCATACTTTTTCATACAACACATATTGAACAAGTGAATTCCATTTAGGGAGAACATGTGGTACAGAAACACGATCAGCTAGAAAAAGGGAGCAAATTTGCTTATCTGGCCGTAATCTCGATAGAAAACAAAGTTTCCCTATAAATGTGTCACTTGGATCAGGCAAAGGGGTCATGTTAGATGGTGGGGTGGTATAACTTTTGAAAAGCATAATAACACCAGATGGACTAGCGTCGAAAACAATAGCAAATTCTTTAGGGGTTACAGGAGTTTTATAATGAGAAAGAAATTCTTGATAAGTGAATACATTTCCTACCTTATTAAAGAGCTGATTGATCTTTATAATGCCATTCCTAAACCAATTGTCAAAGAATAAGGATTTCCTTTTGTAACAGACATCTTTATTGTTCCATATAAGGTAATTATTAGGAGAAAAGTTATGCTTATAAATTAGAGACCAAGCCAATAACATTTGTTTATGAAAATTTGAGAATGAAACATTGTAGTTGCACATTAAGAGAAATTTTAGTCCACTCAGCTTAGTGTGATATTCTATTTAAATATGAATGATCTGTCTGACTGATGTTTGAATTTTTGATTTAATATTACCTTAGGTTCTTTGACTTTTCAGGGAACACACACTTCTTATTAATTCAGACAGAGTCAAGAATAGTTATAAAAATGAATTAAATTCTATTTTTCTAACCTAACGATTATACAGGACAAAGTATGAATGAAATGATGGAATTTAAGCTGGATGTTTGTAGCAAAACCTTGTAGTATCTGAAAGATCTTGTGATGTCTGGGTTGTAAAATCAGTTTGGTTGTAGGTTGGTTGGAGATTATTCATAAAACCATCCGACACCATGGTGCAGAGTCCACATTACCCCTTGTGTGACGGTAGCTCTTGAGTGGAATGGGGAGGAGGCAGACCAAGTGGTGAGTTCACCGGACGTTGTGGCTACAGGAATCTCAAAGAGTCGTAGCGCCCTTTGAGGTCCGGCCAGAAGATACCACCACGGTCTGCAATTTAGACGTTCCACACCTGAGGAGCTGTAGTGTCTGATATCACTCGCAAGCAGTGCAGAGCGACTGTGACTTTGGACAAAAGAGACGATGGTTCCAAATGCTTGCTCACCCAATCGACTTAATCAGGAGGCTGGCGAAGAACAGAGCAATCAGGAAGTGATCCCTTTATTTATTAAATGTTGTTGACAAATTTGAACAAAACAGAATTTCACCATTTTAAAGGGCGTTACCAAAGACCTCAGAGAATCACTCCCTCACTTAGATACTTAGTGGTTAACTCATAGTGTGAAGTGAAAATGTTATTACACATTACTGTGAAGTGAATGTTAAAGCATTAATAATAACATAATGATGTGTGGAAAATACTGATAGATTTAACATCAAAATCAACAAATACTGATCTGGTGTAATTTAAGATCAGGAAAAATATTTATTTAACCCACAATGTCAAGTATAAGACACATTATTCAAACACTTTGGATTCAAACAAATTGTTCATTCACCAGAATATGATTATGGGAAGTTTTAAAAAGTCCTTTATGACAAGAAAGATAAGCTTTTCAGAGAGTTGAAGATAAGAAGTCCTGCATCCTGCAGCCTTGAGGCTCATGAAGCACGCAGGATGTGTTAAGAATATTGGCCCAAGTTCACCTCGTATCGGTACCAAGGTGTCAGATTGACCTGTATGAAGCTGTTTGGCCCTGCAAGTCAAAAGTTAACTTCAGGTCTTTTTTGATGAAATACTCGGCCTTTTGGTATGCTACACTAACTTAGCATCACCTGCATGTCATGGGCCTGGAAGCTTTAGCAGTACTGGTGTGTAATCTTACCTCACCATTCGATTCAATTTCTATTCAGGGTTCTTTGATTAGATTATTAAACAATTACCATGGTTACCACTATTTTAATGCACTTTGTTTTTGCTTTTTTAATGATTTCAAATTAATTCATCAAACATTCATTCTAGTTATTTAATACCCTTAACTCCACTATGTTATTCGTGTAAAACTGAACAAATCCCCTACATAGGTTTGCATGAAATCTACAAGATAAACGTAAATAATGAAAATTAATATAAACACATCAGTTGCTTTTATGAACAGAATCAGCAGAGTCGGCAAACAGGAGAAATACAGAGATGTGGAGTTTCTGGTCTTGACATCACGTGACAGTTCACGTGGGACTGTGAAAAACAAACACCTTTTGGAGCGGCTCACGAAAAAAATAAAACGTAAGGGGCGTTGCTTAAATCAGCACAAAAAGCAACATAACTTTCAACCTAAAAGGAAGTCCATGATGTAACGGAGACCCCCCTATACACTTTATCCCACCATCAGGTAATCTTTGTAAAACCGCATTACCACCACAGACTGCCTTTTACAATGACCAAAGGCTCCCTGGTGCTGCATCAGCTTTGCAGCAAAGTAATGCCGTAGTTTACAAGGAGGCTGGGGTTGCGGGAAAGTTTTGTCAGCTGATTAGGAGGAAAAGCCAGCAGCCTATTCCCTTCATCTAAACCTGGATGGAAACGTGTAAGGTGCAGTCACATGTTGGTAGTGTTGCTGTTGTGTTTCATTTTAGTTCTACACAACTTTCCTTTAATTCTCCTGATGAGTAAATCTCTTGCTCTGTGGCTGAAGCTAATGAAATAACTTCCGTCATTGAGTTTTGTTTTTTTTCCACTGGTGGCCACATGCTGTAGAGGCCAAATAATGATTTAAACAACCCAAAATAATGATATTTAGGTGAAAAACTCAAAAAATGATATTGAGGTGATGTTTGCATGAAAACCCCAAAATAATGGTTTTTGGGTGACATTAAGGTAAAAAAAAACAAAATTATGATAGTATTCCTGCATGTGTAAAACTGCTCCATTAGAGGGCCTGCCATCTAATTACCCCTTAATTATGTGCACATTTAATTGATCATTGTGCAAATATTATGCAAATTAAAATCATCACAGCATCAAAATTAGAAACCTTTTGAAGTTTTTTTGCAAAATATTTCTCCACTGTAAGTCAAACTGTTTAGAAAAGTGATAGCACACCTCCCGTGGCCGAGCCGCTCGTTTTGATGTATAATTTGTGGGGGTGCACGCAGCCATACGAGCAGCATTGTCTGTGGAAGAATAATAACAAAGGTGATAAATGTAGGTGACTAATGTCAAAACCCTCACAGGTGCATAGCAATAAGAGCCCTTCTTGCTGCTGCAACTAATTAAAGGGGTAGAAGCAAGTGCAATTAATTAATTAATTAATTAATTAATTAATTAATTAATTAATTAAAGGGGAAGAAGCAAGAGCCTGCTGCTGTGATTTGGAATCTAGACACTACTACTATTTGGAAACTACTACTACTACTGCACGGAACTTACTTTGCATGACACATCAAAGGCAAGTGACATCATCACTTAGCTGCATCACTGTATTACCCACATCTCTGAGGGATTCGATCAGACACCATCTGACTTTGTGACAAGTTTACGTGTTTTCACACTCCCACCACAGAATTTAATTTCTCATCTCAGGATAATTCAAGGACCAGCAATGTCTAGACAGCAGAGACGGCGAGCTCAGAAACACGTGCAACACACGTATGACCCATCGAGGCTTGAGCAAGTTACGCTTCTCATAGAAGAAAAGGATGAACTGAAAAGCAAACTTGAAGAAACACAGGAGCACTTTAGCAAGGCTACAGGACTTCCAATTGATGGATACCAGCTGAGACAACGGTGTATTAATTTGGAAAAACAGCTTCAGGCTTCTCAAAATCAGCTTATGGAAAGTGAGTCGATGCGCATAGCTGACAGAAACTACATCAGCGAACTTGTTCAGAACATTCAAAGCCTGCAATCTGAGCTGGAAAATGCAAAGACCAGAGACTGGAATGCAGAACAGCAAGTAAAACCAGTCTATGTTATGGCAGATGAAAAATATACGTTGTTTAACAACATTTTAATCAAACTGAGGCACTATCAAGATGAAATCTTTGGTCTCCAGGCTGCCTTTAATGAGTTTAGTGGGTGGAAAGGTCAAATTAAAACCATACATGGTAAGACAGATGCCTTGATCAGCTCGATAAGTCACCTAGAGGCGAAACTAAGGAACCTGGTGAAAGAAGGTGAAGACATGAGTGTTTCCAAACAGAACGGCGCCATAATCTATGAGCCTTTACCAGAACTGAGTGATATAGAAGAGAGAAATTTAGACTTAGAGTTTGAAATTAAAGACCTGACCATGAAGAATGATGAGAATGAAAGACTAATTCAGGAACTGAGAAAGAAATTGGAAAACAGCCACAGAATAGAGGAATGCAATTCTTTCAAATCAACAATTGAAGTGTTGCAGACATCTGAGGCAGCGCTTCTAAAGGAGGTTTATGGGCTGAAGGAAACGTGCTCAATGTGCAATGAAAAGATTAACAGACTTTCTCAAAACATCGAAAATGAGAAAATGAGTGCAGAGAAAATTTCTGAGGAGCCAAAACAGAAAAACGAAAAATTGCAGATATTCGTCTCCTCATTTAGGGACAGTTACCAAAAGCAGGAAGAGATGAACATTCAAGAGTCTCACTTGCAGAAAACAATGAGTCTGCAGGGGCAACAAATCAAGCATGATGATTTGGAGGGAAGAAATGAGATACATCAGTCTCTTAATGAAAAAATTCAGCTGAAAGAAGATTCTCAATCATCCGAACTTCAGTTAAAATTAGATCAATTAAAAGAGAAGCTAGAAAACAAACAAGAGCAGTACAAGAAGCTTTACAAAGACGTCAGGACTTTTGTAGAAACTGTTTCTGATACTGCAGGAATCTCACTGAATAAGAAGGAACCTGTCAGTAATCAGTTATCAACAGCCTTAGAAAAAATCAAAGTTTATATGAATAACACATCGGAGGGCCTTGTTTCTCGCAGGAATTTACACAAAGATTTAACAGCAAAAGCTGCCACCCTAAAGAGGGCAGAACAAGAGCTGGAGTCCAGTAATAAGGTTATAGGTGAGCTGCGTATTCAGCTCGAGGAGATGAAACAACAGCACAACAAGGAACTAACTGAGCTGGAAATGGCTTCACAAGACGAAATTACAAAATATACCAAGGAAATTAGCCAGCTGAAGGACGCAGTTAAAACTGCCAATTACGAGTTGGAATACTTGCAAAGTCAAGATTTCGAGCCAGACGAAGAACTCCCGAAAAAGGTGGAAGAACTGACTCAAGAGCTCCTGATTAGCAAGGAAAAGCAAAAACAGCTTCAGAGAATAAACGACAAGCAACAGAATGAATGTGAGGAGCTCAGGAAACAAATCAGGCAACTCAGCGCTGATAATGCAATGTCAGGCTCTGAGGGAAAATCTGAAGGGAGATTTTTGGAGGCAAAGCCTCCCAAAGCGAAGAGGGTAAAAGCACCTCTAAAGAAGAATGGAGGGGAGAATGAAGTGCTTTCGCCAGGGAAAAGGGCTCCTAAATATCATGCAGGGATTCAGGAAACATCAAAGAAAGAAGAAATATTTACAGAGCCATGGTCTTCAGACTCTGATGATGAAGTTCAAAAGAGCTTTTGCAATGAAAAACATCCCAAAGAAGACAGTTGCTCCAAAATACCAAAAAATTTGGGGCCTGAGGTGGTAAAGATGGACACTTCTCCAAAGAAAACTGAAAAGGATAATGAGTTATTTTTACCTGGGAGATGGTCTCCGAAAGATCAAGCCAAAACATTTGAAAACAGCAAAATAAGTGAACAAAGCCCACCATCCAGTTTCAACCCCAAACAAAGAAAGACTGCTTTACCTCCAGTGAGAAGCAGATGTACTGAACTCCCCCAAAACGTTCTACCAGTCCCTACAGAAGAATTTGAAAAGAGCTTTGGGAATGAAAAATCTCCCAGGGAAGACAAATATAAAAAATCTTCAATTGAACTGGGGGCGGAGGTAAAAAAGATGGACGCTTCTCCAAAGAAAATTGGAAAGGAGAAAGAGTTTATTTCATCTGAGAAAAAGTCTCCCAAAGATCAAGCAGCCACATCCCAGAGCGTGGATTCATTGTTGAAGGAACTTGGTATGTTTGATGATTATACAATTGAAGACAGATGGTTGCCAGGCTCTGATGGTGGCTATAGGAATGAAACATCTCCCAAGGAAGCCAGACGCACAAAATCTACAATTGATCTAGGGGCTGAAGCAAAAAAGATGGACGCTTCTCCAAAGAAAATTGGAAAGGAGAAAGAGTTTATTTCATTTGAGAAAAAGTCTCCCAAAGATCAAGCAGCCATATCCCAGAGCGTGGATTCGTTGTTGAAGGAACTTGGTATGTTTGATGATTATACAATTGAAGACAGATTGTTGCCAGGCTCTGATGGTGGCTATAGGACTGAAACATCTCCCAAGGAAGCCAAACGCACGAAATCTACAATTGATCTAGGGGCTGAAGCAAAAAAGATGGACGCTTCTCCAAAGAAAATTGGAAAGGAGAAAGAGTTTATTTCATCTGAGAAAAAGTCTCCCAAAGATCAAGCAGCCACATCCCAGAGCGTGGATTCATTGTTGAAGGAACTTGGTATGTTTGATGATTATACAATTGAAGACAGATGGTTGCCAGGCTCTGATGGTGGCTATAGGAATGAAACATCTCCCAAGGAAGCCAAACGCACGAAATCTTCAAATGAACTGGGGGCTGAAGCAAAAAAGATGGACGCTTCTCCAAAGAAAATTGGAAAGGAGAAAGAGTTTATTTCATCTGAGAAAAAGTCTCCCAAAGGTCATGCAGAGAAATTGGAAAGTAGGAAAACAATGGTGGAGGCTGGTTCTGAAGATGTTGAGAGGAAGGAACCACACACACTATCTGGTCTCAACCCCAAACCAAGACGGACCGTTCTACGTCCAATTAGAGGGCAACCTATTGCTCCAATCACCAAGAACGTTCTTCCTCCTTTGAACAGGAAACCTATTTAATAGGGGAAAAAAGCCTGGGCTTCCTTATATTTTGAAGGTGTTTCTTGTAGTCAGTCAGTTAGTTAGTTTTAGTTAGTTTTCTGTTTCATTGTTTGAATGCTGTTAAGCATTCAAACTATTGTTTTCCTGTTTTTCTTTATTGTTTGAATGCTGTTTTTTAATAATATTTGACAATAGCTTCCACATCATGAGACTTAGTGAAATTTTGTTTTGACATTTTATTTTTTGATGGTGTTCTCTCTCTTTTTAGTGTGAAAATTTTCCAGAGATGTTGTGGTACTTTACCTCAAGTTCTACTATTATTTACTGAGATACCAAGTTCACTTGTTTTTTTTAATACATTTGTGGTTTCTAATATAATAAATGCCTTGTAAGTCCATCTCTTTGGGTAAAAATGCTCAGGTGCTCCTGTTTCAGGGAAGAGAAGTTAGTTGGAAGAGAGGGCAAGAAACAGCAGGATTTAATACTCTGTATAGGGTAGGGTGACTATACGTCCTCTTTCCCCCGGACATGTCCATGTTTCTGTTAGGTATTTTCATTTTCCCATCCAGGGTTACCTGAAGGGAAAGCTCAACACGCAGGGGTTGTATTAACAAGCTGATCGATTTAACCCATACCAATCTTTACCAATAATCAAACAATTTAGACTTTGCAAAGGGAGAGCATGAATACATCACACCACACACGGGTTGTCAGTTCACTCTCGTCAGACAAAAGCCCTCCAAGAGTATTTATTAAGAACACACAAAAATGATAAAACGCACACACATTGACACACATTCCTTTAGAAAGGGAGACAAACAGGCGCTGGCACAGAGCGTTCTTACTGATAAGCCAGGACTGAAAAGAGGCAAGGTCAAATGCCTGTCTGTTGCCAGGGAAAAATGAGCTGGATGAAGCTTTCGTTTTAAAAAATAATTAATACAATAAAAATAAAGTAATAAATAATGTATCCATAATTTATCTAACAGTTTCACTCTCTGTCCGGGGCGTCCGTGGGGTTCCTACTGTCATGTACCTGGGCAGAGGTGAGTCACACCATCTCACTCTAACCATTATTGAGCTGATTTCCCACAGGTGAGGAGCGGAGGGGGCGGCAGCTGCAGGAGATCCCAATCAGGAACGTGCGTTTAAAAGGAGGATGGAGACACCTCACCACGCCGGATGATTGCACCAGTTTAGGTAGCCCCAGCCACTTGTTCTTGCTCTCGTTTGTTCGTTTTTGACTCGCTCTTGGATACTTGGATTTATGACCTCGGACTGTATTTGTGGATTACGTTTTTGGATTACCCCTTACGTTTGGTGTTTGTTTCCCTTCCCCTCAGGATCCTCACACAACCTGCTCCACCCTTGCTTTCTTCGAACTTTGGATTTCATACACCACGTCCCATCCTCCTCCGTTGTTCCTGTTTGGTCCCCCTCTGCTACCTCACCCATCCCAGATCGCTCACCCTCTGCCCAGCGCTCACCTCGGCTCCCCCTCCTTCCTCGTTCTCCCCGAGCGCTACACGGACGTGAGCTGCACCGCTCACTCCCACAGGACTTCCCTGTGATATTTTTGTTCCCGTTTTTTGAATAAAGACATTTTTCCTTTACTCACTTTACTCGTCGAGTCTGATTCTGCATGTCTTGGGTTAGGCACTTACCTCGAGTCATGACACCTACTTCGATCAAAATGTCCGGTTTTTTATCCAGGAGCAGGGATCGAGTTATGGGGGGCTAGATATCTTTCAGGGAAAGATCCAGTTTCTACCTGTATTACAATATTTATGGACTCTCAGCGTAGCGGGATTCTGTTGAGCGGAGAGGACGCAGAGCACTGATCGTTGGTGCGCCCGCTGCGTCCGGCGCATGGTACATTCTCAAAGTGGCACAACAAAACATTATTAACACATGATCGTTCGTATCTGTTTATATCCTCTGGTACTTTGTCTTTTAATCGTTCCTGACACGCTGCGCTCATCATGTGCTGCGGTGATTTCACTTCACTGACGCAGAATCGAAACGCGCACTCTGCTTTGCAGTCAGGAGATCCCTTTGCTCAGAAGTAACTGATGAGGTGAACAATAAGAATCCAGGCACCAGTTTTTCTGGAGAGTTTAGAGGAGATGCAGGAAGATGAGAGACAGACAGGACAGGAAAATAGTTAAATTTAAACAAGAAAATAAAGCAAAGTGTTGAAAAGTAAAATGTAGGTAGATTTATCTCCACTACATGTTTTTACTTGTATAAAACAACAAGTTATGCACATCAATCAATCAATCAATTAGACTTTATTGTCACTTCAGCCATATACGGTTTGTACACAGTGAGGCGAAACAACGTTCCTCCAGGACCAAGGCGCTACATGCAACATAAATTTACAACATAAAACAACAGGGAAATCACTAAACTATCTAACTAAGGACAGAACAAACTGACCTAACATGACACGTCCTCTCCAAGTAGGCAGTACAAAGGAAAAAATAAATTAAAAAACACAAACATACTTAGTATGTAGGTGGTAAAGAATCATAAAAAAAAACATGCAAAGAAAAACATCAGTGTGTGTGCGTGTGTGTGTGTGAGCGTGCGCGCAGGAGACGAATGGCTTGTGGAAAGAAGCTGTTGCACAGTCTGGATGTGTGTGTCCGAATGCTTCGGTACCTTCTTCCAGATGGCAGGAGGTTGAAGAGTGTGTGAAAGGGGTGTGACCAATTAGCCACAATGCTGGTGGCTTTGCGGATGCAGCGTGTAGTGTAGATGTCCTACACATGTAATATTTATACATTTGATACAATTCAGATCACCTTCAATACTCAAGTCACACACCCAGGGCCTCTTCAAAGCATTTTGGGGGCCAAGGCAAAACGGAACAGTTTTCTCCGTGTCTGGTTCGATGACGTCAGTTTCGTGAAGCTCACAAAATGTTAAAGTGGCCTTACTTGGCATTTCTGAGTTTTATTTGTGTATATTTCTTTTGAGTATGGCTGCTATTTTATGCATTTTCTATCATTTTTCATTCTTATGTTTATTCGTTTAGCAGACGCTTTTATCCAAAGTGACTTACAATTTATAACCTATAGGGCATGTTGTGATCTGTGGGGGAAACCGGATTACCCGGAGGAAACCCACGCATGCATGGGGAGAACACGCAACTCCACGCAGAAAGGCCACAGCCGAGTTTCGAACCTGCGACCTTCGTGCTGCGAGGCAACAGTGCTAACCACTGCGCCACCATGCATATTGCACCGTGTGATGTAATAAAAATTGGGTTGAAGTAGATAAAGGTCAGGCCCATAATGTCAGACAATGGATTTAATGAAAGAAGACTCACTCTTTCTTTTTACAAAGACGGCACCAAAAAGAAGGCATCAGCCCAAAATATCAACAATTAACTGGTTTAATGTGGATACAAAATATGAATAAACAAACAAAAAATTAATTAATTAATAAACAGAAGCTCAAAAATGACAATTTCTTTATTTTAAGATTTTCAACAATAAAAACTGAATTTGTGCTGGAAGCCTAATAATTTATCTAGGTAATGAAAAAAAAATCAGATACGTGGACGAAAAAATATTTAATGAACTAGAAGGGACTTTCCCGCTGGTACAAGATAGTGTTCATGCTAATGTAAAAAATGTCTTTAGAAGACCTGCCATCTAATTATTTAAGTGCATATTTAACTGATAATTAAGCAAATCTTATGGAAAATTAGTGGCACACTTTCCAAATGAAAAATTTTTCAATGTTTTTGTTAATAATTTCACCATGGTAGAACAAAACGCTCAGAAAAGTAATGGCACTTCCCATGGCCGACACACTCGTTTTGATGTATAATTTGTGAAGGTGCATGCTGCCGTTCGAGCCGCATAGCTTCCACAAAAAAATAATAATACAGGTCAAGATACTGGCGCGCTACCCTAACATGTCCAGCCGGCACACATACCTTTCATTATTCTACTCTGCTTTGCTGCATTTTGGGGCATTTAGTTTTTATGAACGATTATGAATATTTATGAATCAATTTTGATTCAGCGTGTACATCATGAAGCATTGATCAAATGGTGAATCGGCACACCCCTACTTTGTACACAAAAACACTCTTCAGAAAAATGAGAAATGGAATATTAAATGTCCCATGTCTTTGTGTCCCTCCAGCTGGTGCTTCCAGAGTGTTACGGTCCCTATTGTAGCGGAGGAAGTTTTTCTGTGCCAAAGGTTGTATTTGCCCGGCTGGGTCGAAGCTGGGTCACCAGCAACTTTCACCCACAGATAAAGACCTGAGCTGCCAGCAAGTCTACAAGGAATCAACAACATCCAACACCTGCATCACCAGAAGGAGTTCTCACAGAAAGTCTAGCCATAATAAAGAGTCTTACACTTCCTTTGTTTATTAATGCTAAATAATCATTTTATCACTTTATTCATTATAAATGTATTTTAATCAAATGAATTATTATTATGCTTTGGGTAATCATAATAACTATAATGAATCAGTATACTTAATTAATAATGTTTGAAGATGTTTGGTGATGACCTTCACACTCGCTCACACAGGTCTGCATTCACAGTAACTCCAAAACACATTTGCTCTGACGCACAAGTTTGCTTTGGGAAGAGAAGTGGTTTTTGGTAAGTTAGTCAGTTCGGGTTTGACAACGAGAGAGAGCGGATGTGCTGAACAAACGCCAACGGGGAACGGAGCCCCCCCCCCCCCCCCCCCCCCCCCACGCTATTTCTGTCAAGCCAGACAGAATAGCTGAAATGCAACCGCTAACGCAGACTCGTCCCAGAGTCTTTGATTTCTGAGTTAATTTAAACTTGAGAAAGCGCATCTGCTAAACGCTTCATCAACGTGTACCGAGGTCAACTCTGGACTGGACCGTCAGCGCACCTTCGTCTTCTCTGTCAGCCAAGGTGGCTCCTGGAGAAACATCCTCCTTCGGTCCGGATCTAAAGAGGGTCCTAGGTCGGTGAGACAGAACACGATAGATAGCGTACTGATGCAGTTTTTCTAATAAGAACTAAGTTTAATTCAAACCATCACTTTTCACTCAGATTCGCCTTCTCTCTCCCTGAAGCAGTCTCATACACATGCATGCACACATTCATAATTCCATCATTCTCAAATCTTAGCACATCCAACACAAGGTCTATTTGTGCAAGCTTAAAATATCAACTGTTAAAGATTGTCCAACAAGGTTGCCAATGTTGAGCATTTTTCCTATGATTGTCATTTCAAATCATTAGTTTAAATTGAAGAATTAAAACTCTTAAATTTCAAACTTGTCTCTTCATTGAACTGAAACACAGACACATGGATATGATCATCCGTTTATGGATGAAAACAACCTTTGAGTCTTCTTATTTCTATAAAATTTGGTTATTAATTTATTAAAATTAATATCTCAAATTAATATGCAGAATGGTTCCTCTTTAATAAAAGAGCCATAAACCATTACACTACACCATGATTTTGCTCCTCTGCCCTCTTCTCCGATTTCTGCTGCTGTACCAACAGTCTCTCCAGTCTCAACCTCCTCTCTCTGTCAGCCAGCAGGATCAGCACCTTGGAGAGAGGCATGCCTACCAGCAGCTGAGACGGCAGTTGTCACCTCTCACTTTAAACAGAAGAAGAAGACCTCGACGCGGGATGATTACTACTACCCGGTAGATTCCAGCCTCATAGTCCTTTGCTTTTCTTGAGCCTCTAGTGAATTTTTCTGGATTTATTTGCTTTGTGTTTTTTTATGCTCACACCTGCTTCAGGAATCTTGGAGAATCTCTGGTGAAGGAACTCTTAGGATTATCTAAACTCATCAGGATACTCATCGCCTCTACATAACCTTCTGGACCCAGCTTCCCAGTGTTCTCCTTCTCTCCAGTCGCTCCACTCCTCTGCTTCCCACACGCTCCCTCTCCTGGATATACACACCTCGACTCACCCAACTCTCGACCTGCCCCTCCCTATTCCTCCTCATCTCCTGTGCCCAGTAAGTCTTATCTCTGCACCTCCCTCAGTTAAGACTTACTTCTCAGGACTCACCTTATTTTGCTCTCCCCTCCTCAGACTCTGAGTACGGGCTTTACCCCATCCACTGGAAGCTCCAGTGCACTTTTTGTTCCCGTTTATTAATAAATTCCTTATTTTTGATCATTATAACTGTGAGTGTGTTGATTCTGCATGTCCTGGGTTAAACTCCTTCCCCAGACCATGTCAGAAATGTGTTCTTTACTAACTTGACTTGGTTTAAAAATCTTACTAAAATAAACCTTAGAGGCTGTCGTATTGCAAAACCCAATCATACTTGTTATGTAAATATTAGCTTTGTAGATATCTTTTACAGATCTATATTTGTGTGCTAAAAAAACCCATAAACTTAAATAATTTGTCATTCTTTGTTGAAAAACAACAAAATACAGGTACACAGAAAGTGTGGGAAAATGATCATGTGAAAGTATTGCTCTTTAAATGTAATTCTATTTATCTTTAAAAAGAAAAACTAAAAATGTCCTGTACAGCTGTGGGCAATTTCTGTTATTCTTAAAGAAAAGAGTCGGAGAGAGTTTTTCAGTCGAGAACAGCGTGGTCTTTTATTTGTCTTCTCACATCTCAGGACAGCCGAAAGACCCCGACAAAAGAGTGGTTCCCCTTTTTATTGCTCACATCTCTTCTGTGGAAACTGTGGGTGGAGACTTCTGTCTGGGACACAGCAACACTTTTGGAATCACATCAAGTATTTAGCAAGTCAGATAAGCTTTAAGCAATGTTACTGGAAGCAAGCAGAGACCAAAACAGGAAATTCCTTTGGAGCTGATGTTGGAACAGCACACGAACTCTAGCCAGAAAACACTTTCAACCTAAGAACTCAGCTTTAACTCAATACATTTTGTAGATGACCTCTTGACCTTTTTGGCACCAACAGTCCTCCATTTGGTGGACTTCTCCACCACACATTACTATCGTAAACAAATTAGCAAATTAGCAATGAATGCTTAACTAAGTAACAGAACAAATGAGCAACAAATAATGATAATGTAACAATATGACCGAGGATAGAGACAAAAGGGCATAACATATGACCTTAAATCAAAAAATGCATAAAGGAGAACCCATGCCAAAACACGAGATGATGTTCCAGACTAACACAGCAACGTTAACACGTATATGTAATGAACAATGATTAAGACACTGAAAAACAACCGATGGGTTCACAGCTGAGACAATGAAAAACTATGAAACAATACATGAAACATGACTTTAGCATTAACTGAACCCATTACTTCACGAATGTATTGCATGCGCGCTCCGTATGGAGGCGAAAAACCCTGCCCGCTGTACTTTAACAGGGGAAATTCCTCCATGTCCTCCCCGACCCCAGGGACGAACACCACGGCACAGAGCGGGCATGCGAGGACATTGGTGACACATGTCCTCGTCAGTGATCAAAAGAAAAAAAACACACACAAATCAACAAAAGCACATGAAGATAAACAGGTGACAAATATGATGAATAATGAACAATTAGCTTTAGCGAAGACATAATGAAACAGTAATAAGTCCGGTTGAAAACTTCATTCAAAAGAATAAAACGGAAAATACAAGTTCAGCATCCATGTCGGCGTTGGAGGCCTTCTGCTGTAGGAGGGCTTTATGTGGACAAGTGTCCTTTATTTGTCAGGAAAGCAAAGGCATAAGTCCTTGGCTCAGTCCTCCCTTTGTCCATCTTCGTGCAGCGTGGTGGTGCCGACTTCATCCTCTCCACAGCGAGCAAAACACAACATGTCAACAAGAAAAACTTGAATTAGCACGCCAATTGCCTATAAACCTATTACCACAAAAACTTCCTAAATATTAGACCCAAAGACAAAGCATCCATCCCCACATTCACACCCCCTTTCTATACTACTCACTATCCTAAATTAAAGAGCTAGTTTGCCAGCACGGCATGCAATGATTCACTCAAACATTTACGGGCTAATGGTAAAAGCAAAACTCACCTGATTGTCTTGATAACTAGGAGTAATGTAAATGGCCGCTCGGTAAAACGACCAGAAATAAGTCCTTAGAACCAAATTTAAAAGTCATCCAGCCAATTCGACCTAAACTCAACCAGAATCACCTATTCTGATCCTCAACCTTCGAAGCCACATTCAAAACCCTTCATGCAACATCCACACACCCTCAAAAATGAACACATGCTAACTCATTACTATAAGAAAACACTAGTCAAATCGTGACATCCAGCACCCTCCAGAAGATCTGTCGCACCTGAAATGGAGTACTAACAGTCATGGTTATGTTATCACACTAAGTTAAAGAACTTAGACACAAACGGGAACAAAAATGATGTGAAACCTAAGAATATACGGTAAACTCATATGTTGAGTCGCCTATCATCAGTAGTTCTGAATCCCCAGCATACGAGGAATTAATCTGCAGCATTATGATCTATAACATTGTCATTAATGTGCCCTAAGCTCTTATCCAGAAACATGTCAGTTCTGGGCTCATTATTGGTAGTTTACCAGGAATACACACATGCTATATTCTGTTAGGATTTATCTCTTTATTACCTCAGATCTGCCTGGCCCCTCCAGCCCATGCAAAAGCTTTACGTACACCTTAAACCTATAACCTCCCCTCGGACAAATAAAACAATCAAAGTTGTAAAACTGGAACAAAAGTAATTAGACATCAGCTAAGTGACGCCGTCATTGTATGGTTAGTGAGACTAGTCAAGTCCATGCATCCACAGATGTGATTATAATGACGTGAATGCAGGTATGGAAACCAGTCTAGGGTGTAGAGTAGTTGCATTTTACTCATCTTTCATTGTAAACAATTCCTCTATTGGTGTCGCGGTCGTCGGATGGCCTATAAAACGATGATACATTGTGGTGATGTCTTTGTCCTCTTGTTATGCTTGTCCATTGGTTATCCTCTTCACCTCCTCCAGCAGAAACCCCATTGTAATTAATCAGGGATGGTTCCTAGCAGCATTCAAGACAAGAACCGTACAAGTTCAGCAAACTTCTTCTTAATTTAGTTAAACTAGTCCCAGTAAGGTGAGAAGCGACACTATCCTTTAGCCTTCATCTCAGGTATCGACGTGAGTCCATGAGAGTCCAATCTTCATCTTTTTCCATCCTCACCCTTGGTCACCGTGCAACACCAGGAAGACTCGCACTCCGGCCGGACCAGACGTCCCCCGAGCCGATCGCCTAGGGATTAATGGTTATGCACAAAAATGACCTAACTCTTACTGACCCTAGCCTCTGATACCTTCAACATCAGACACATACAGTTACAACCAGCAAGCGCAATTAAAGGTACAGTGACATCATAACATGGACACACACGGACACACAAACACATACACACACAGAGAGAGATAGAGAGAGAGCAAGACTGTGTGTGTGGGAGAAAAAATGAGTGGGATCCACTTTGCCACCAGCATCTCCACCTGTGTCACAGAGAAAAATTGCAAAGAAATTAAAACATAAAGCAAACAACAATAATTCAATGAGTATAAATGATTCAACTAAAGTATACAACCATGCATGGGTTTTTTAAAAACAGTTCCAGTAACACTGACGATGCCTTGTGCAATGGATTCTTAAGATGGTCTTCATCAATTGGAGATTATAACCGAATTGTTTCAGGATCCTGAATTTGAATTTGAATTGGTTAATTTACTCT